AAAGTATTGTCTTCTGAAATAATTTAGTAAAATAAATCAGGCAATATGTATCCTTCACAGGGAGAACTTTGCTTTTATGTTCCTTTAAATTAGCCAGTGCACTTCAATAATATAGAAAACACATTTACTATATCGTAATGTGCCAATAATACTAATTTATCAAGAATATATAAAATTAAATTAATATAGATTTCACACAATTCTGTACAATATATCATCATTATATGGATATGTATAGGTCAGTCTAAAATGCTACTTTTCAAAAGTGTTGCAAGAGAGTCTTGTGTACATATCAGAGGGAACAGTTTACCCTTGGCAGATTTGGCAGATATGAGGTGAATTGTTGTTATATATAGTTATATATATATATATATATATATATATATATATATATATCCAGACAAATGCCTAGGCCATAGCTGACAACGGGTGCTGAAATATTCATTTGTTTATTTGGAAAACTCTTCTGATAAGGGAACTGATGGAAGAAAATGGTCCAAATAGGGATAAATATCTTGCTTCCTATACCCATCTGTTTTGTTTTCTATTGGAAGCCTTTCCTGAGCTTAAAATAAAAAAGGAACATCTATTTTGGAGTTGGGCAACACATTTTTTCCAAGCAGCAACTCAAAACATGATGAGTAATTTGGAAAAGAACTGTCAAATCTACCAGCTGCCTCGCTCATGAAGCGGAGCCCTGCTGCATTCTGTATCTTTATACCATATGCTAGGAGCTGATTGCCTGCAATGCCAAGCGACAAGCTGAGTATATCAAGTGAAACTTGTTTTAAATATCAGAAACAAACTGACAATCCACAACTTTATGAAAACTTCTAATTCAGTGACTCCGAAGAATGTTTCCTGCTCATAAAAGAATGGAATTGACCACACAAGAATTTATAAGTGTTGTTGGCAGTATTCCTTATCCTTTAAAAAGTTTATGTTAAAGAAGTCACTATTCTAAGCAGCAATCTTTAGGGACACTGTTCCAATATTTTAACTACTTAAGTAAAAAATGAAATTTATCTGCATCTGAGAAAGTTCTGTTTTAAATTTAAAGGGATTTTTGTTAATACATGCTGTCTGTTATTGAGGCCACCAAGAAGTCCAATAAAAATGAGCGACTAAAAATGTTCAGGACAGTTTTAAAGTAGACATAACTTTAAAAGTAAGGCAATTGTTTATTTTGACGTCACCACTTTCTACTCCACCTTGAAACTTGGAAAATTTAAATGTGTTGTATAAAATTTAAATTAATCCTGGAAAAATCCCAATGGTTTTGTTTTAATCAGGAAGCCAGTAGGTATTATATATGAATCCTTTCATGTCAAGATCCACTTGTCTGAAAAATGTGTCCTGAGTATGTCTTGGAAGGAAAGCTATACTTTTATTCCCTGCAGCTTTTCTTCTTTGGACAAGCTGTTACCCCGTGACCCAAGGTGATCATCTCCCTCCTACATGTTCTTAATGTTTCCTGCACCTGGTGCTAATTAGCTATTATGCAGAGTCCCATTTAATTATTATTAAACATCACATTTTTATTGCACCATATGTTTTGATTAAGTAGTAGGTTTAAAAAAATGTGTTCTGTTGTATCTTGTCTATTCCAGCCATTTCCATACCATGAAACATTTAAAATGTCTCAGGGTAATACAGATTTTTAAAGTGAAAGACAAGTACTGGTGACTTCTCAAGCTTGTCTGGTTTTAATCATTGACTTGATTCTTATAGAGACCCTCGTGTGCTTGA